TACTATTATATTATATACGTTTAGGTATAGCACAGAATATGTAATCCATCTCTACCTACTATATAAACATAATATTATACCGTATAGTCGCATATAGGTGAATATAACATAATACTGCGTGGATCGGATTGGCCCGACGACTATATTATAATAATTATACCTCTACAGTCAATGGTGCGTGCGTTTGTGACGAACGGCTATTAAACGACGACCTTGGCAGAAAGAAGATGCTAAGGACCAGATAAAGCCCGATGGCTAGACGGTCGGTGAACACGATAGACACTGTTTTTTAACACACGACCGACCGATTCCGCAACGGAAATTTTAATATAATTACTGTAATTGACTGCAGATTTTTACACGAGAATATATATTTTATACATTATTCTACATATAAATCCAGTCAACGATGCATGTCACTCGGTCAACTATGTTCGTGTACCTATATATATATATAAGTGTGCGTGTGCGCGAGATAATGTATCGAAAGGATGCGATCGGATTTGTATGTATACAAACCAACCGTGCCAAGGTCGCGAATACCCGAGTCCGCACAGAAGATGGTCCGTCGCACGCATAACTCAATATATATTGGTACTTCAGGTATTCTTCACTTTTTAATTTTAGCTCTTTTCGTACTTATTCCACTTTGACGCACTTCCATCGATCATGTGATTTTTTAGGGTCGATTATAACTACATCGTTATTTATTTTTCGATTTTAGAAAATATAAACGGCATAAAACAAAGAAATTGTGCCTTAGATTGGATAATTTGATCACAATAAAAATATACACGACAAAATACACAAATGATTGATTAATGCCGTCTGCGTGAAAGTTATAGGGAGCCATATTTTTTTTTTACTCTTCCGTTAAAACGTAAATAATAAAATGATTTAAAGACGATGGTGGGGAGTCGTGGAAAAAACACTGGTCATTTTATGATTATTATATTGTCGTTTGAAAAACATAATGTTATAACATACCTACTGCAGTATTTTATTAACAAAAATGTTTTAATTACCTTATAATAAATAGGTTGAACTAATTATATTATACAGTTCAAAATTGTTTATTTTTCTTTATTGTAATACTGCAATAATGTATATGTATATATTATATAGGTGTAGTATCAAATACGAGGTTGACATCAACATTTTATGCAGGAGTACGGCGTAAACAACAATACAACAACAAAATTACAAAATTGATATATACCTAAATTTTAATTAATGTTTCCTTAATATGGTCTTATTAAAATTTAGTTTTATACAATTTATATTACACGACGCACGTATTTAATATCTAATAAAAAATAAGATTAAATAAAACCACCAGTTAGGTGTAAGTAGGGCTGGGATTTGGATGCAATGTAATTTTCATCTGGTGTTCTAAAACGTAGTTTCATACGTGGAAAATGTGTCTTAGAGAATCCTAATTATTTTAGCAATATATTTTTATTTGACATTTTTGGGCAAATTAAACTTTTTGAAAAGATTTTACGTTTTAAGCTATTTTTATAGAGTGTTAACAATTTATTTTTGAAGTTGTAATACAAACTGTATTATTGTAATAAAATGTATCAACATACTGGTAGATAAAATCATAATGATACATAATATATAGGTAGGTACAATGGTATATAATATTACCTACTAATTACTATAGTGGTCAGATACAGTGTCAAACGTGAATCAGATAATCATATATTATATCATAATATCTACAAATTATTAAAGAGGCAATAACAATACTTTTAATATAGTCATATATAGTGTATTAGTATATTTAGTATTTTAAAGCGTCTTCAGAGAAAATATTCAACATTGAGCTGCGTACGATGCCATTATATAATTTTTAAACGCATTTTTAATACCTATGTGATGTATTATAGTATAGGATATTTTTTATTTATATATTATTTTTTAGGCCTCCACACGAGTTTTAAACTCAGTGAAGCCTAATAATTTTTTCTGGTATTAATAAAATAATATATATATTAAGAGCATTTTTGTATTTATTTGAACTTAATTTTTACAATTTTTTTAACGCATTAAAATCAAAACCTTAGATGTAAGATATTAGTCACTAATAAGAACTTTTCTAAGCCATTACGTGGACAGCAATTAAGAGAAAAAGAGAAAAACGGTCCCAACGGCGAAACGGTAATTATTTTCAACGGTCAATGTCGTTCAATAGGTGTTTTGTTGTGTTTTTCGAAAGCTTATTCGGGCAGACTAAATGGACAGACGGGACGACTTGACATTGATGTCGGCGGTGGCGTCCGCTGTGCAACTTTTTACAAATTAAATTAAAAAATTCTCCTATTGTGTCCGATAATTGGATGCATTTCCGACGTGTCCCGTTCGTGTCTGTACCGCCTTTTATCATTATACCCATTTACTTTTATTTTCTTGTTTTTTTTTTCCTTATTATTTATAATATTCCATTCGTATCGTTATTACTTATTATTCTTTTTTTTCGTAAATTGTTTGCCCAACAGACACCGGACGCTGTCCAAATTTGTCGAATTACCATATTATTAAGATCATTCAGGCCAACATCGCAGCAATGCATAGAAGCGGAAAAAAAACCAAGAAGTGCGTTTTTATATTATACCATTATGTTACAGTGTCAAGCCCAACCCTACAATCGAATCAAAACACAACTATTTCGTTGACTGATTTCAATGTTTTCTTTTTTTTCTATTTCTACTTCTCTTGTATTATACACATCTTAGGTGTATAATCATTACCGCTGTAACAATCGTGTCACTTAGAATTACTACAGCTGGTAGGTAGGTAGGTAGGTAGGTAGGTAGGTAGGAAAATACCTATATATTTAATATAGTATGTGTGTCTATCGAGGGAACATTGAGGATGTCAGATAATGATATTTCTCAACAAAATCCATCAAACATAAATATTTAGAAAGGCTAATATTTTATGATCTATAGTTACGGGTTACGACAGTATAGATGAACCATCGTTGCAACGACAAGCAAAAACAATTTGTAATAATGACATAAAAACAAGAGATATATCATTAAATCGAATATTAATAATTATAGTAGATACTTAAATAATGACTGTGGATTTGTTTAAAATTATAGTTATGGAAAGAAAATAATGGCAATGAAGCACTTTAAATACCTATAGTAAAATATGCAGGCACGAAGTCGATTAATTGTCAAATTTCATGAATAAATTATGAAATATAATTTTTATAGAATTGAGGGTTTAAACTTTAAACCTTGTTTATAATGAATGTAATTAGCTAGTTAACTAAATTATAAAAAATAATTTTAAAAGTACATTAAAAAATATTGATAACATCATTGCATTTGATCTTATTAAATCCTCAATTATACAGATAATGTGTGAAATATTTAAATTTTCTGATAAATCCGAGTAGATATTACTAGGTATTTAATTACATTTTCACTGCATATTTTACAGTGGGAGTATGATAGAACCAAGAAAATTATTATGTATTAACGCTTTTGTAATTGTACAAACATAATATTTGATTTTATTTTACTTATTTAAATCATAGAGTCAAAGAATATTGAAGAAAAATGTTTTAATTTTTATAACTCAAAGCGTTCAATGCATCCATTTTTCAAGAAAAAAAATATAAAATTATAAATATATATAACATTGTAATAATTAGTAACTTTTTAATTTTTTTTATATTTGCACAATGAAATGGTATTTATGGAAAAAAAAATAAACAACAATATCTTAATCTGTTTGGAAAGTTGAAACAGCCCACAGTAAACGTCATAATAGATTGATCACTAGAGGTAAAGATTAAGTCTGACAAAGCAAATTTTGGTAGCTGTATATGGTTAAACAATATTTTAGTTTAATTAAAACGTACTCCTCCGTAGAAGGGTATATTCAGAAATATTTCAATAGTATTCATACGTAACTATATACTTAAGCATTAAACACGATAATATTATGTTTGTTTGTTATTTTATTGTATGAATAATATTTTTAATATTGTAAATCTGCTATTAAACTTTCAATGGCTATTATAGTAGTATTCTCTTATAATTATTATTATCTATATTATATATTCCATGTTGATAGGCTTAATAGGTTCAATCAGTGGCGTACATTATGGAGATGATTAAAATGCTCTAAAAATATATTCCACATAATATTATACATATCATATGTCACTTAAATACCTTAATCACTGGCTCTCCAACGATGGGGCTTTAAACGCCAATATGCATTGTTGCATCTATTATGGAATTTATTTTACTGCTGCATGTCCTTTTAAATCATTATAAATTCATAATTAAATAATTATGATTTATCATAATTTGTTATTATGATATTATTTGTTAACAGTTTTTGAATTTGAAACGTATTCCTATTTTTCCTAATTTTATTGCTATTAACATTTAACATCTTATATTATCAATGACCATCGGCTTTTACATATTGCATATAATTCAATAATTGTATATTATATCAAAATGATAATACATTATTTTTGACTATTCAAATGAGATAATTTTAAATTGGTTTGAATTTATTACAATAATTAATATTGCTTAAAACGCACTGTTAAATATATTAATATTATATAAGTGTTAACAGTAGGTATCATTTATAATAGAGCGTTTATGTGGTTAGTCAATAATCGTTAAAGCCATTTATTTCAATTCAAAAATAAACAGGTACCTAAATACGATGTACCTGTAGTATTTATGTAGAACTGTTATGAACTACAATTTTATATAATACAATTACTATACAATAGGTATGATGTTCTAATTTTATTGTTTATATCATTATGCGAATGTGGAAAATTATGTAAACGTACGAACTCACAATTTCAGATCATATGGGAAAATCCTATTCTATTATAATGTATAGTGTTCAATGAATCAACGTAGGCGGGTAATGAAAGATTATATTTAATAAATATAGTAATATAATAAAAGAAAATAATATTTAAGTATATAGTGTTTGGTACTCACTCAGGAACAGACACCCCAATCGATCCGTTGTGATCCAATTGCGTTTCATCTTGTCATTTGTGTTGAAGTCCGCTGTAAAACACAAACACGATTCTTTTAGACATGACGGTCATCCATGATACTATTTGCGCCGCAAATGCAACCCGATAACGATATATTATGCAAAGCGAGGGATGATAATAATAATAATATGATGACAATAAATTGATAAAATATAATATTATGTGAATATAACTCGGCGGCTGCCAACGAAAACCAAAAAACAAAAAAAAAATAATAAATAATTTTAATAATAAAATTTTATCGATGGTCGGAAAATGCGGTGACGGCACGTCCTGCGTGTGTGTAGGTATACATCGACGACACTATTCGGCGGGACTGTCGCTCGGTTGACACGCCGCAGTGGCGTTCGCCGCGTTTGTCACCGCCACTGAAGGTAGGGGGAACGTCTCCACCAGGGGGGGGGAAACACCTCTGACGCGTAAGGTAATAGATTTATATTTACATATATTGTGTGTGTGTGTGTGTACGCGTTTTATTTTTCCCGGAGTTTTTGTTTTCCCACGGACAATGCTGCACTCTTCAAAAGTGCTCGTTATGCAACAACAACAATAATAATATATCTACCAGCTGTATGTTTTATATTATATTTTAAATCGTAGTTAATTACAACCAAAGTGTATGAACTCTTCACTTCGTATAATATAATATACTATATTGTAATGTATATTATTATAATGTATATTATTATTACGCCCTTAGGTATCGTTTGAATATTATTTATTAATAACAAGATTTTTATACTATACGTATTGAATCGCTATGTATATTTTATTTTATTTACATGGCACCAACAACAATGATTTACTCCTCGTTGATTTCGTACTAATAAACCCTGCAGTGAAGTGCGTATCATAAAAAAAAATTGGTGTTGCTCAAATAATTTTAGGTGACCTACCCCTCATAATACTGTTATACCGACCTATAAAATTACCTATTGTTTCATCTATACCCACCAACCCTTATTTAAGGTGTTGCCCGAGCCACACTTGGACTCTATGTTACATGCCACTGAATGAACCTCATACCTGCAGTTCTACCGTACACGTTTGTGAAATTGAATTTTCTTAATTTTTTTTTTTTGCTCGTTTGTCTATGTCTGCACATCGGGTTTTAGAAAATATTTTGAATTATATTATGTGCACTGCACATCATTTACCAAATTGACTACCACGAGTGAGTTTATTATGGTATAACATATCGTATATTTTATAGGTTAAACACATTATTGACACATAGTTTCAAAGTTTTATAGAAATATGATAGGTAAATATATTGAGACGTATCTAGGTATATCGAAATTTGTAGAGTAATTGTCTATATTCATTTGGAACCTGTCTATACCAATACATAATAATTAATGGGACTTCATCGTGCACATTGCGCATAAAAAAATTACTCAAGATTGACTTTCATAAGAAATACATTCAATATTATTTCGTACGTCGTTATTAGATTATGTATAAACAGTATGTAAGCGCACTATAAGCAAGGTTTTTATGAAAGTGAATAAGTCTAAACTGATAGCATGCAGTTGATCTTCAAACAGAACAAAAATTAAGACTAAAACGTATCTACTATATGTAGGTATATATATATATACTATTATGTGTTACACTTTATTAGTGTCTTACAGGTTAAGTGTTTCATTTTTTAAACGAATAAAACCTATTAGGTACTTATTTTATAACACAATAACTATTATTGCAGTAACACGCCGATAGTTTATAGTTATTGTGTCAAAAAATAGGTACTTTAAGCACGCACTCTACTATTAACGTTTATATCATATTATTACCTATCATTGATTTCGGCAATTCAGTACTCCGGCTAGTATACTGTTTAGCGTTTACGTATAATAATATATCTGTTCACCACGACGTCAATGACAATCGGAAAATACAATACCGGAAAAGGGATGATAAGACCATTATTGTAATGTAATATAACATTAATTCTCGAAATGGTGAAACCGCTTTAATCCACAATAGTAGACACTGTCCGTATATATACGAACGCGACTTCCGATTCGATTTGTACAGTGAACACTGCGGATAACATATTATTATATATATAAATACACTATGGTATATTATACTATTGACTGTCGAAGTAAATCGAATGTGTCCATCATGTTTTATGATTACCTCATTGTGAGTTCCCGTTTTCATGGATGGATTTCCAGCTATATAATAATATATTAAACACCAAATACACGGGTGCGTGTCCTTTGTTCGGGAATAGTGTATAATAATATGTTTGAAGAAAATGTACAATAAAAATAACATTATATTATACATATTATATGGAACGGAGGATTGCAGGGCGTTGAGCGAAATCGATATTTTGGAATTCACGGTTGATCGATTAACAAATGAGAAAATAATAGTTAACTTACACTCAGCCAATAATTAAACACGATAATATAAGAATGTATGATTACAAGCCATTTGAAGGACACATCGTATTATTATTTTCTCAACAAAAAACAAAAACTATACATTATGTTTTAAATTTTAACACGCGTATGCCAAATCCTAAATTTAAAAAATAACAAAAAGTCACTGATGGCTATTGAAGCATAGGATGTTTATTCACCAATTAAATGTGCGAGTAAAGAAGTTGAAGGAGTTGAAGCTCCCCTAAAATTAGAAAATTAGTAAATGAAAAACGAATTAAGGATTATGCGCGTGATATAAATTTAAATCACTTTAAAGCAGTGTAAATAATAACATTATTTCCATTTATGTCACCTATACCTATGCAATACTAACGTGCTATATTGCCCGATATTATAAGAGTTGATTCAATTATTTTTTAATTTAACTACTACACCAGTAGGGAGGTTTATTTTAGAGTTTGATCACAGCTTACATATTTTGTTCTCAAACTACCTAGTGAAAAAGTTAAATCAAATAATTATTACCTATATTAGAAAATTAGTTTAATAAAACGATAAATAAAAATCGCTTTATCAAACTAACTTCTTTGTTAATAGATATACATATATAAGCTATCGATATGTTTAATGATATCTAGGGCCTTAAAACTCATGTACAAGGAATAGCTCTGGTCACTAAATACTTAACAATATTTCCGGTGGTCAAGACACCGCTGCGTGTCATAATGTCATATTTCCCCTGTATGTCACATAAGACCGGTCTCTCCTATACCCACTTATATGATTATTACTGCGACGAATATAGTGTTAAAATGAATTAATAAAAAACAAATTGAAAAAATAAAAAACCATATAAACAACACTTTTTCGACAGAAAACGACGACGTACGTGCACGTTTCAGTGATGTCACATTTACCTTCGTCTCTCGGTCCATCCGTCGAACAATAGCGAGACGGGTAAAACGATAATTGGTAAGAATTGTATTCATCGTCTCGAACGTAGTGGAGAGCATAATAAATATAATATACACACGCGTGCGCGCCGCCATCAAAAAGAAGAAAATATATCACGTTCCGGGTCGGTTGACTTTGTAGAATCATTGTATTTTCAACTAACACGCGTCGAGTAATCGCAGAACTGTTTTTTTTTTTATTATTATTATTATTATTATTATTATTATTATTATTCCTATCTAATTGGCCGGGAACGTGAAAAAAAATTTTGCGGAATGTTTACTTTGATATCACATACACTACCGAGTGGATGGGGTTATTTAAAAAAAAAAATAATATCTGGAAAGTGAAAAAATTAATTGAAAATCAAATTATTATATTATCAGAATTTAAAGGTAAATAAAAAAATCATCAGTTTTTTCGTTAAAAACACGGTATGGTTAAGGGAAAACTATATAACATAATGGATAATATTTTGTGATCAAATAATAACAGCCATGTATATTAAAGGTAAATAAAAAAATCATCAGTTTTTTCGTTAAAAACACGGTATGGTTAAGGGAAAACTATATAACATAATGGATAATATTTTGTGATCAAATAATAACAGCCATGTATATAGGTAGGTAATATATTTTATTATTGTCGCTATATTTTACTGTTTATTTTTACTTTATGTCTGAATTTATACATATTATGCCAAACACGAATTCACTTTACTACAAATTGCTTTTAACCATGTATACAAACAAAACGCCGAAACATGAACATCTATGATATTATTATTTCAATAGTTTTTTAACTTACAAAATAATACGAGCAATATGACATGTTTGGTAACTTACGAAATATAATATGTTTTGTATCTTATCGACTTTGCTATGCCGCATTTACGATACACGCATTACACATACTTTGATTTAATTATAATAATGCAAAAATGATTTCTCAATCAAAAAATGAGTAATTTGTTATTAAAACTCATCAGAGCATAATGAGGTTATGGTTTGCTAGGTATGAACCCGTCATTGTGAATATGAATACAATAAGAAATGTTGAATAGATAACACTGCAGATAACATCCATTAAACTTGGTACCGATCTACATTCAGTTTAAGATTTATTAAACATTTTGATAGGTATAGCTATAATAGGTACCTATACCGCCTTGTGTATTGACTTCGTAAGTACCTAATGTAACATTATACATGGATACATATTGACTTACACGAATTCTTGAACTTTATGGATTCGTTAATACTTAATACTGTTAAGAGAAAGGAAATCGAAGTATTTATCAGATTGTATATCGTGTAAGTAAGACTCTTATTCGTGACTCCATGAAATCTATTATAATTTCCATTTTTCATGTACCTATAACAAGATTCGGGATATTCAATGGATGGATATATTTAAATATTTTACTCTTACTGTATATTTTTTTGCAATAAAAATGTTAGGCTATTGGGTATATTTATTGATATTCATTTGAAATATTGAAAAAAAAATTATACCTACAACTATAGCATAAAAATAATTGGTCCCATTATATTTTAAACAAATTGTACCCAGATCGGTTAACTGTTTTTATGCGATTTTATTCATTCCACTTAGATTTATACAATATTTAAGAC